AGACATCAAATACTGAAGAAAAACGGCCAGGAATACAGTTACATATTGGTCGATGACAACTGTACAACTTATTTTGCAGTATCAGTTAAAAGGCATAACCAAAGGTAACCATTTGGTTTAGTAATGTTATTTTTGTAAACAAAAAAAAAAAAAACTTATTATTATTTATTACAATATTCAACGAAAAACTAATTGACAAAAAACTACAGACAGATGCGAAAATAGGTTTCTGAAAAACTATCACAGATTACGAAAACGTCCTTTTAGCCGACATATTTTTGGCTGTTACTTTCCTACTGTCTCCTCGGCTCTTCTCCCCGCGCTCCCCTCTCTCCTCCTCCCTCCTTCTCGTTCCATTTTTAGTGATTTTATAAAGTTGAAATTAATGGAGAAAAAAACCAACTGATCTCTGAAAAAAATATATATCTGTCGTCTACTTACTTTTTTTTATGCATATGAAATCAAAGCAAATTATTGACGTACAAATAACAGATTTATAATGCTGTATATCAAAAAAAAAAAAAGTGAAAATAAAGATGTTAGAAGAAGGCGAAATTTGTGGTTACTTCATTGATTTGCAGTGCTTTCAAAAAGTTAAGGTTAATAAGTTTATTGCTTTTCTTTTTTCTTTTTTTATTACTGTTAATACTTATCGTAGTGTTCGTTTCACATCTCTTTATATTACTCTCGCCTGTTTTCTGGTTACAGAATTGTTGCGATGACAGAACTGCACAGAATAACAAAATTTGGAAGCAAAAAAACCTCTAAAACCATTTTGCCAGAAACTGACGAAGCAGAAAAAAAAAACAAAAAGGAAGCAAAGTGTCAAATTTGTAAATCACTTAAAAGTTACGTTGAAAATGATTTAAGAGTGACGGCGACGACGACGACGACGACGACGACAGCGGCGGCGACTAAAATGATGACGGCATAAATGAGTCAAACAAAAATTGAAATGATTTTTCTTTTTTTTTGACGTTTTTTTGTGAAATAAATAAATATATAAATGTTTGTTATATTTTTCTCTTATCGTTTTTTCAATTTTTTTCTTATTTTAATAGAAAATACTTTTGTGCGCAATTTTTTTTTCTTGATTTATTTGTTAGTTTGTCTATTTGATGTTTAAAGTCTGCAAGGAAGACTAAAAAAAGGAACAGATGCTTAAATTATGTCTCACAGAAGAAAAAAAAAAGATAGAGTAAAAAAAAAGAAAAAAATGCTTAAATTAGAAAACCTTTATTTTCTTTTTGATTTTTTCAACCATTTTTGTTTTGTTTTGTTTACGAATTTGCCAAACAACAATTGATTTGCTTTTGAATGGTTTAGTCAGTGTCGTCGATAGAGACCGAGAGCAGTATCCAAGGCCTTCTTCCCGTTTCCTTCAAAATTTGTTTTTACTTTCTCTTTTTTTTCTTTTGTTAAGCCATTTATTCACCGATAGACAAATGGAAATCTTTGTATGACATTTTTGGTCTTAACGGTCAAAAAGAAAGAAATGATGATAAGGTTTGTTGAGTAAATTTTTTTAGCACTTCATTTCTGTTGTTTCAGCTTCTGTTATTTTTAAAGTTGATGAAACAATGGATGCTGCAGACAGATAAGAAGCAGTTGAACACTTTAGATACCAAAATATTTGCATAGTCTCTAAATTGAAAACAGTTTTTTGAAATGTTTTTTCTCCTTTTGTTGTTGCCTATTTGTACACTCAAAACTGTTTTTTTACCAAACAGAATACATGGAATTTTTATTTTAACCATAATGTTTTTTTTTGGCACTTAATCAGATTTTGATAATTGAAAAGAGATTTTTATCACTACAAATTTCTCTTTTGAATTCCACTTACAACAAATCTATGATACTTCAAAGCTTTATTTGCTAAATGATTTAATCAAAATGACTGCTGATAGATGTATTTGAGAAGTTTCAACTGGTCATAAGTGGATACACTGACTTAAAATTTAGCTAAAAATTAATTGAAAGATCAGAGCGAGAAAAAAAGTTCTGTTTTTTTTTCTGTTGCTAAAAGTTGTTAAGTTTATTTTATTATCTGAAAAAGTAAAAAAAAAAATGTGGTTTTAAAAATTCTAAAAAAATTTAAATCAATTTTTTTTTTAATAATTCTGAAGAGTTTATTCCTTTTGTGCAACAACGAACAATAAACAACGATTATTTTAGTGTCTGACTGTGAAGTAATCTTTAAAAACTGTTAGCGAAAAAAAAAGAAGACAGCGAACAAAAGAAGCCGATATTTGACTAATGTGTTAAAGCTGCAGCATCTATGACGCTAAATCTCAGACTGTACTATCAGTGCTGAGCGACAGAGCTTAATATAAACTTACAGAACGTCACGACGTATGCTTCTTATGCGTAGAATCCAATTTCTTGTGTTTCTCTAAAAATTTAGGCTACAGAGTTCTTTTTTTTCTCCTTACCAGCTATCGAACATCGCCAAAACGTGAGAAATCAAAATATTTGATTTTTTTTTCTAGAAAATTTGCACATCATCATAAAATAGAACGTAATACAAAAAAACTAAAGTATAAGTGACATTTTGTTTCTCTGTTTTAAGCTGTTTAAATTCCTGACCTTTTTCTGGAATACTGAACATCTTAACAAATCTTATTATAGGCACATTTAAAAAGCATCATAACCGATAAATTTCAGCATTTAATAAATTACATACAGTACAATGAGTAACCAACAGCAGCAAAGAACGATTGTTTAACATGTGCAAATTTATCAATCTATCATTACACTTTTTCTGCTAAGATATTAATTTTTTAAGAGAAAAAAACGATTTTTCTAATGCTCTCAAAGTGCCAAAAAACAAATTCGCAAAATTATTAAAATCTGTAATTTTCAAAGCACAGAGAAATAAATAAAACATTTATGTCATTCTTAATAAAATTGCCACATATCTATGCTTGAGATCCATGGCGGGTTAGAAATGCTTATTTATAAACAACAAATGACTGATATTGTAATAGATCAACTGCTGCTTAAGATTGATTATAATGAGTTAGCATAAGAATTGATAATAGTTTAGACAAAAAAATTGTTATATTCAACCAGTAGTCGATTTATCGACTTATCAGTTGAACTATTTTTTTTTGTATGGAGAAGAGAGGTTAAATAAAAACAACATTTTGGTAACTTGTTGTTGGGCAGCTCAATGTTAGGATGTATGAAAAAGAGGTGATAGCCGACAGCTAATTGATAGAGTGTCAATTTTAAGTTTTCTGGCATTCAGTTACTCTTCAAAGTACGTCTAGATGCTTATAATAAAAAAGACTTAAAAAAATAGTACGTCCTGTCTAAATAAAGCTTTCTAGACAATATAAAATACAGCAAAAGTATATGTCTTAAGTTTGAAAGTATTTCTTTACAATTACTAAGTGCGATTTTCATTTCAAATAGTCGACTACATTTTACTTCGTTATTTTTTGCACAAATTACATTTGATTACAATTGAATGTTAGTTTTTTTTTTCTGTTGTTAATTTGAGCTTAATCAGTTTGTTAAAGCTTTTAAAACAAAAATTTATTTATAGACAGTATCGACAATTATTTATTGATTAGTATCAGTTTGTTTCACCAACTTTTTAATGCAAAACCTTCTATTCTGATGCTTTGATCATCGTAATAACGTTTGTTATATTAACCTAAAAACGATTGTATCTTCGCTCTTTATTTTTTTTTCGTCATACTTTTAGTGTATCAACCAAAAGTTTATCCACTTATTAATTCTGTAATTTCTCCGTCTGTCTCTTAAAGACCGGCATGACAGTCAATTTCATTTGGCTGCTTATATTTATTGCTGTATTATTTACTTGTTGGTTCTTAATCTGATCAATAAGTTCTGGCAACTGGTAATAATACATTATCTCTTCTGTTTATCACTTTTTGTCGCAAAAAGTTTACAGTTATATCAGAAAAATATCGCTAACAGCAACACATTTGATACTGTAAGTCCAACTAATATAGGCCTGATTAGTTGACAGCTAAAACCTGAATAACTTTGAATAAATGTCGTCTCACCTTATCTGTTCGGAGATTTATCCGTTCAGAGATTTCATTTTGCACCATCAGTTTCATAAACTTCCATCTTTTATCTTCTCTTATTTTTTTTTTATGTTGTTGGCTTTAATTCATAAAATTTGTATTTCAAGTAAACAATAAAATATCAAGTAGAGGCCGAAAATAAGTGTGGTCTAAATAGGCTAATTTTAAGCAGTAGTTAACCTGAAGTCACCAGTTAAATACCTGACGCCACTGTTGTTTTCTATATCATTTCTGAACAACTCGTCATATTTCCAAAAAATTTTTTTAATTTCTTTTTTTCTTTTCAAAGAAAAAACTTTTGTAAACGAATTAAGTTTTTCAATTTCTCTTCCACTTATTTAAACATTTTACTTTTGAAAATTTAAAATCTCATTCTATTTGCTTTTTCTAAGTAAAATTATTAAGCGTTTTTTTGTTCCAAACTAAAGCCTACTGTTTTGATTTGTACCCAAAAAGTTTTGTATTTTTACATTACATTCAAAAATTTTGACGCTGAGAATAATCAGTAGTTTTTTTCGGCGTCTTATCTGTCATAAATCTGAAAACATTTTTCTGCATGTACAGTAAATAGAACGTGAAAGAAACATAATTACAGTGCTAAAAATGACATATACTTTTGTAATTTAAACGTCGAGCTGTTGCTTATATGCAGAACCATAATGACTTCTACAGATATATAAAACTATTTGGCGAAACAAATTGTTAATCATAACAAAATTTATTCTATCATGTGTGCAGCACATAATTTTGTCATTGATACTGCAGTATAACTGAAAGAAACTTTCGGGACGTAACTAGGAAAAAGAAGCATGGTTATTGTTGTATAATTTGATCAACATATGCTAACTGGGATAAATGACAGTAAAGATTTGGAGCACAGGATTCATAAAATTATCGCCAACAACTTTAGTGCAGTAGTTCTTAGCTTGCTTTTTAGCTTCACTGACTGGATCGTTGAATATGTGTGGCTCGTTCTTCGCCGTCGCGACTATATAGAATGGTATGAACGTTGGAACCAACACCAAATGAATCGTCACCTTCGTGCACCAGTTGATCAGGTGGTGATGCAACTCCATGACCTCTAGCAAAAATCTGAAAAACTCATTTCTGTATCTTGACCTTCTGTTCATCAATGCAGTGAAATAGTTGCTGAAACGATTAATCCAAAACGAGTGATCACTTTCGCTTACCTTAACACTCTTTCCCGGTCTAAGAACATAGTCTTTTGGGAATGTAAAAACGACTTCTTTTTTGCCATCAATTTTTCTCTTTAATTTCCATTCTCCGATGTGTTCTTCTTTAGCACGATGTGTATTTTGTAGGACAATATATTTGCCATCTGCTGGAGCCTCCTATAAAAATAAATCTTTGGCTACTCGTCTTTATACGTACTGTAAATATATGGCAACTCGTGACAAAGCAATCCGCTTTAGTGCCCTCGCACACAAAGAACATTCACTAGCATTTTGCATGAGAAGTATTAATGGCTGAAGTGGGAAATTGGTAGCAGCTTACATGGATTGACACATTTCCCTTGGCGGATCGTTGGAAGGATTGCCGTGATGCCGTTTCGCTTTTAACAACGCGAAGAGTTTCTAAAATTATAACAAATGGTTAGGCAGTGCTTGCTTGCGATGATTAAGCAGAAGGTTCCTTGCTTTCCCGGCTAATTCACCTACCAGTATCCTCTTGTTGTGTAAGACCGTGAGTACGAACAACCTGTTCCACAAGTTGACGCAAACCTGCACGATTCTCTTCACCTTCCAACATCTTACGGTAGATGGCGATTTCCGCATCTAGCGTCTGCAGAATTCATCAGTTCAGTAAAACAAGCTAACTACATTTTGTTAGAGATATTAGGAGAGGTACTTTCTGTTTTCTATTATGGTACTCTAGTGGCAGAAAAATTTTGTTTTTTTGGAAAGTTAGAACTGTGGAATCTATTTTCTTATCGCTTTAACCTGTTTTGTATCAAGCAGCATTTGCAGTTCGACCATCAGTGCCTGACATTCTTCTCTCATCTTTCTGATCTGAGCATCTCTATCATTTAACGCTGCTTCATAAGAGCGTTGATCGTCTTCCAGTTGGAAGTTGAGCTCTTGAATCTGTTTTTCCAAAAGAGCATTCTAAAATGCTTATTCATTCTGGATATCGCTTTGAATTGGCGAACAATGTTCACAGACAAAACGACATAAAAGATTACTAACGCGACTTTCGAGGTCAGCTAATTTTCCGCGCAGATCAGCCAACTGAGTACGAAGTCTCTTAACTTCCTCCTTAGCGTATCCTTGTTCCATAGTTTGACGAGCCGATTGAGTTTGAATTTCTTGAACTTTAAGTCGGTACCACGATTCCATATCAGTTCGGTTAACATTTGAAATCTGCAAATGACGAAATCAGCTCTAAGAGCGTGTATGACACTAGAGCTCAAAACGATCATCTCATGAGCTTATGCTACAGTGTTTCGTTTGTAAATTCAATAACCTGATCATATTCGGCACGAATATCTCGAATTGCCGAAGCTAGTTCATTTTTGAAGAATTCGCGGTTCTCTGGCGTAGTATCTCGTGCAGCTAAGGTTTGCAGTTCTTTAATCTCTTGATCATGGACACGTTTAAGGAAGTCTATCTCTTCCAGAAGTGTTTGAACCTGGTTTTGATAGTCAATACGATTCAGCGTCTCTTGATCCAAGTCCTACAAAAATGCTCCTCATATTAAGAATTTAAAAATAGTTTCTGACATTCTCATCCTTCCATATAAATAGCCATGCATTTGTGGAACCGTACAGTTCGAGCGCGTTGAAGTTCGCCAATCAAATGTTGATTTTCCTTCTTGATACGTGATACTTCCTCTTCTAATTCGTTGATTCTTCTTCTCAACAGATTAGCTTCAGCTTCGATATCAGCCAAAACTGTGAGCAGTTTATCAATTTTTGCTCGATCATTTTCATGTCCTTCCAGCGCTTCATCATATCTTTAATGAAAAAAAAAAACCAATTCCATTTTACTATTGAAAATAATCATTGGCCAAATATAAACACTTTAGTTCCACTAGAGGTTATTTGAACCATTTCATAAGTTCAATTATGCAAAAAAAAAAGAAAAAAAAAATTTTGTTTGCTCCTCTTTTTTTTAACTCTCCCGACCCTTTTAGAAGGCCTAATATTCATCTACTAATAAAAGAGCAAAAATATTTTGAGAACGAGAAAAAAAAAGTTACAGAAAAATTTCCATTGACCAAATATGTTCAGCATTTCTTTTTTGATATGAATTTAGGACAAAAATAGATAAAAAGCGAATAGATGAATCGTTGAAGGAAATAATTTATTGTGAAAATGGTTTCATACATTTATATAATTTTTGTGTTTCACAAG